TAAAGGGAACCCCAGCGCTCGGTTTCTGTCAGTGGATGGAAGTGCCTGCCAAGTCCAGCTGGTCGCTCAGACATCTTGATAAATGCCAGTTGTATATCGTGATGGGCGTGGGATCCTATTACGAGAGCTGGCCTCCCAGCATCAACACTTGAAAAACCGACCTGAGCACAGGTTGACGTTGTCCGGTACTGGGTCGAGGCCGGGTTCTGCTGGATGGAGATATAGAAAGGTGGGCAGTCACCGTTCATCTGATCTTCGTTGCAGGGTGCGTTGAAGGTAAACTCCACTTGGCTGGTAGAAACGGATTCTGAAATCACCAACCTTCAGTTAGCGCGACCAGCTGAAACAATCCACTGGACGGCAAGAACAGGCGGACAGTTCCAACTTTCAGCAGCTGGTGCTTCTGGTTCATTTCAGTCTACATTCGGTACGCTCACGGCATCCACTTTAAGAAATGTCGAAATAAACCATCATATGTGTTTAAATGGGTCCATTCATCGCACCACCGCAGGTCAGGCACCAGTTTGAGCTGACGCTCACGAACCGGTGGACATGCAGGTGACGTCGTCGCCTCCGTCGGCCGGCATTGGATCCTCACGGCTGATGCAGAACTGCAGCGAGCCGAACGTTGACTCGAACTGAAACGCCGGGCCCGGGCACACAGTGAGCGGTGAGAGGCGTCGGCGCGGCCTACAGCCTCCATGGCCTTGGGGCCACGGCTCCATGCCCGCGTTTGTCTGACCCCCAGATGCCAGGTTTAGACGAAGCAATCAACGACAACGGCTACGGAAAAGAGCGGCCTGTGTTTTTGTCTGCCCTCAGCCGTTCTAGTACAGGTCTCGACGCTCTGCGCACGTGGGAAGACGAGTCTCCTGGCCCACGGGGTCCGTGAGCTAGGGCTCCGAACGTGAATCCGAACCAAGGGGTCTTCCCACGCGGCCCCCGTCTGAAAAAGGTTGGAAGTCTCCTTAGTGCTCAGTCCACGAACTCCTCAATGAACTCACCCGTCAGGATGACTGGATAAACAAAGAACCAAGGACACTGGGGCCTCTCAAAATTACGTGGGCCAAGGTTGGGGGCTCTTGAGTCGGTTGTTCAGCGACAAACCTTAATCGACCGCCATGCCGTCCCTCTCCTTACCAAAGTGACGGCGGTCGGCAGACATCTTGCGCTGATCGTCTGTCAGAGCGGTACCAACAGCTGCCCGCTTACCTGGAGCTTGAGGTCGCTGCTGGAGAAAAACTGCTCCGGCCCCAAGCGCAGGTAGGCCACACGTCCGGGCGTGATAAAGTGGGTGTACTCGTGATTGTTCTCGTTGTACGTGTATCCCAGGTTGTCCGTGTTGCAGGCCGGATAGACGAATCGCGACGGAGCTGGGGCGATAGAAAGTGGGCGTGTGAAATGGCCAAAACTCGGCCAATCACTCAGCATGTCGGTCTGTACAGCAGAGGCATAAGCAGTAGGAGGAGGACGCCTGCAAACAATGGAGCAAGAAGACTATGCGAAACACGGGTAAAGACAAACGCACGGCAGAGAAACGAGAGAGAGAGAGATAAGAGAGCAGAGAGAGAAGAGAGAGAAGAGGAGAGAGAGAGAGAGAGAGGAGAGAGAGAGAGAGAGAGAGAGGAGAGAGAGAGAGAGAAGAGAGAGAGAGAGAGAGCGAGAGAGAGAGAGAGAGAGAGAGAGAGAGAGGCGAGAGAGAGAGAGAGAGTAGAGAAGTAGAGAGAGAGAGAGAGAGAGAGAGAGAGAGAGAGAGAGAGAGAGCAGAGAGAGAGGAGGAAGAGAGAGAGAGAAGAGAGAGAGAGAGAGAGAAGAGAGGAGAGAGAGAGGAGAGAGAGAGGAGAGAGAGAGAGAGAAGAAAAAGGAGAGAAGGAGAGAAGATAGAGAGAGAGAGATATGAAGAGAGAGGAGAGAGAGAGAGAGGAGAGAGAGAGAGAGAGAAGAGAAGAGAGAGAGAGGAGATAGAGAGAGAGAGAGACGAGAGAGGAGGAGAGGAGAGAGAGAGAGAGAGAGAGAGGGAGAGAGAGAGAGAGAGAGGGGGGACAGAAAAACTTACTCTGGCACATTTGCGCTATTGACTTTGGGGCACCACGTGGTCGCGTATAGCCCTGCTGCTGGACTCGGTGGTAAACATGTTATCACTGAGGAATTGACGCCGGTCCATCTTCTGCTGCACCCCGCTGAATACGTTTGGGTTGTCCGTGAGCGTGAAGATGTTCAGGTCTGTAATGGCAAACAAGCCCGTTAGTTGTAAAAATAAGCCATAAACGCAGTTGCAACAGGAGGTTGCAGGGTCTGAATTATGATACGTACGATTTCTATTTTCCACAACGATAATCATGGGATTTCTTGTATTTGGATCCGCGTAAGCCATCATGCGTGGCTAAGTTGTGAGTAAATGCTTTTTTCCCACCTCCTTGAAATGGCCCCAGCGACCTCAAATTCATGGCTTGCCGTCACCACCGCCCGGCCAGCATGCCAGGCCGGCCGACGACCGTGGGTGCCGCTCTGTAACGCCTCTGTCGGCTAAGCTCTCCACCCTGGCCAGCAGGACAGGTTGGGCCAACGACTGATGGATGCCGCTCTGGCAGCGCCTCTGACGGCCGCACTCACCACCCAGCCAGCAGGACAGGCCCGGCCGACAGCTGATGGGCGCTGCTTCTGTAGCGCCTCTGACGGCCGCGCTCGCCGTCCGGTCAACAGGCTGGTGCCCAAGTTCAGGCGAACCGGCGTTGCAGACAAATACGACCAGCCGCAATGCTGTTCTGTAGAGCCATTATGTCCAGCGCGAAATATGTGGTGCCGCTCGCTCACCTGGTGGAACCATGTCGCACAGCGTGTTCAGCTTGTACGCCACGTACATCACTCGTTATCGATCCGAGTACTCGCTGCTCGCATGAGCAGCAAGTACTTGTGTGTTGGATCTGGCGGGCAGTCATCTGGCGACAAAAGGAGCGACATCGCGTTTAGGAGGGTCGTTAGTATCGATGCGCGCACTCGCTCGCATCAGCAGCAGTACATGCGTGTTGGATCGGGCCGTCGTCTGGCGACAAAAGGAGGCGACACCCCGTTAGGGTCGGTAGCACTTCCAAGCGTGATCCAGGAGGATGAAAGTACTGTATTAGTGGAATGAGTCATCCAACTGCCTAGATTTCATTACACCACAATTTCCTATCAAACTGCAACTCTCGTCATCGGATGTAACGAAGCTTACTTAAAACCTTCCCCGATCACGTACAAAGAACACTGGAGTTTTACTTTAACTCCGCAGCCCTAACTCTTAAAAAAGGTTCAATTCTGTCTGTCTTCGTCCGGTTTGAGGACTGAAGCGAAATGCATGGCGTAGGGAATAAGGGAATGCGGCTATTTAGTGATAAAACAGGTCAGGATTAATCCCAGCTCCCGATGACATACGAAACTAACTTTGAAAGACCTCACACACTCATAGCCACTGGAAATCGAGTGTGAGGGGCTGTGAAAACCGCCAATTGTGAAAAATGAACTTCCGTTCTCCAAACCGGTCGCAACATCAGCGTCCTCTCATGATCAGCTTTAAACAAACGACATAATCACCCAACGCAATCTTCCTAGAGCTTGTACCGGCCTCCCCTGAGCTTCTGATGTGAGAACAATTGCACTGTCCTGAAACATTCACGCCGTTCTTACGTCTGACCGTTCCTGGTCCAGGAGGTTGCCGTAGTAGGTGATCAGCGCATCGAGCGTCTGCATCAGGTCCAGCTGGCCGGACGGCACTGGCGAGAGCGCGAGCGGTCACCGCGCCACCAGCCTCGTCTGCTTCTCCATGCACGTGACCCAGCGAACCGATAACGCCACTCACATTGGCACAGATAGATTCGAAATTTGGCGCTCAAATGTTTCAACGAAGACTTCGGGCTTGCAAATGCAGGATACTGACGCCTGAAACCACACTCTAATTCCTAACAGCACATTTTAAACAGCGCACTTTCATGCGCCACTGGAGCTTTACACCCTTCAGTACCTTGCCACCTCCATTACCGAAGTCGCACGCAGTGACACAAGCCTAGACAGTCACTGGCGAGAATTGCAACCAACACGGCCTACGCCTGCCAACACGTGACGCCTGGCGGATCCAGCGCCATCCCTGCCGAGCTCGACACCCGCGACTCCCGAGCCGTACCACTGATGTGCTGGGCGTCGCAGGCCAGGCGAGCCTTGTTGGTATAGTTCCACTTATCCAGCAGCACCTGGCCGTCTACCCCACCACCTGCTCCACCACCCGCCCATCTCTCTGACGAGGGGGCAAACGCAGGGTCGGAATTGGGCGTTTTCAAGTCGGCACTGGGCCTCCCCAAGTCGAACCTTGTCGCCCGAGATGTGCAAAACGGCGCTCCACAAAAAGGCCAGGTCATCCGTGTGCACCCTGAGCTGTACTCCCAGCAGCTGGCTGGAGTCCCTCTAGATGCCCTAATGCACTCGCCGAACCATCTTCATCTCCATCGACGAGACGGGCCGTCCGCGCCCAACGCCAGTGCGCGTAAACGGGCGTGCATATTGTGGACATTGAGGGCGTGATAAACTGGTTGACGCGGTGAGCAGCAGTCCCTGGGACGGGGTGTGATAACCGGTAAAATTTGTCGATAGGATGTCTAATTGGAATGCAAATTTGGTGCGAGTCTACGACACAACATCTCATTGAAAATGAAGCGCTGAGCATGGATTATAGAGCACCGGTTGCGATATATTCACCTACAGATGGTGTGCTAGTGTAGATAACAGTGTGTCTTTTTTCAGTTCCCAGGCGGGCTGAGTCTCCAAGCCATTACACATTGCTTATGGCGTATCTCATTTCCTACCAGAAACAAACAAAAACCTTGCGGAGGCCAACAGGCAAGGGAACCGCGAGAAACAGCGTTCAAAGGCCGGCACGTATGCGTGGCTATCTAAGCTGCACCCATTTAATAGCTATATGGTTCATTAGCAGACCACAGGTGAATCGCCCCAGTGGCCTGACCGATGACTCACGATAGGAAGACCTTCTGCGCCTGCAGGCTGGAGTCCCCCTGCGAGGGGTCCATGACGGCCATCAGGTCAGCCTTGGTGGAGCAGATGGGGTCAGTGTTGGTGTCGCCCGCTGGTGGCACCGCCTTGCAGCCGGGTCCGTCGTCCGTCATCGAGTTCCCTGATGGGTTTTGAGAAGGGACATGGCGTCAGTGGCAGGAATACGAACGACGTTAACAGCCATGACAAAGCCCTGACCGTGATATTGATGTCAGGAAGGTTGTGTCTGCGTTCGGATTTTGTTGGATTTGATTCGTGCGCACGATCGCCGATCTGAGTATTTGAAGTCACGTTTATTGGCTTGTTGTTGATATGTAAGCTCCATCGGGTAGAACATGGGGCTGGTGACTGTGCATGACATTTGAGGGCTTGACTCATTTTCGCAGCTCTGAAAGGGAAAGAAGCATCGCTGGCACAAGACGGTTATATCTTCAGTCACAGCGGCACTGCAGAGTCAACAGTAGCAGAGTCACAGCAGCCGCACAAATTATACGTTCGCAAGATAGCTTCAAGCTTACCCATCTTGGAAACCTTACGCAGCGAAATCGGAACAGCATAAACAATACGAATTGCATGCCGCCATGGCCTACGGAGACATCATCTTGACACAAAACACCACATTATCACCAGAGCGGGCAGCGTACACCACTCACCGGCAAATCTCATGAGCTGATCGATGACCTTCTGTACCAAAGCGGTCATGGCCTCGTCCAGGCTGTCCTGTACCAGCATTGGCATCCGTCCCAGGTCGGCCGCGTAGTAGGCGTACCCGAAGTTCACCGCCTGTTGCGCAGCGGCGGGCAGGGAACGCCTCATGTCATGTTATGTTGGGAAACCAGCACTCACCGAACGTGGCTTGCGATCCAGTTTAGTTTGATCTTGAAGAGAGACGGTTGGCTGTAATAAGTGCGCTGATGAGTGATCGAGTTTGTGCGGGGTGTGATGCCGTCAGTGGTAAGTGGCTCCGTGGCGCTCCGATCATCCCTCCTGGCAAGAAGAGCAGCGCTGGGAGGCCATTCCAATCTTGCTTTCCGCCCGTCCTTTATTGCCCATCTCCCCGTCACAGACTGCCGTCTCTTCCTCTATCTGTGTAACAGCAGTCTCGCAGCTGGGCCACCAGCACACGCCTGTCAGGTCGGGTTGCTCCCACCCTGTTGCCCGCCGCGCCAGTCCAGGTCAAGCCTCCGACACGCCGGGTGGCTAATGACGTCACTCCGGCGCTTCGTGCCGCGCATCGCTCACCTCCGTCTGTAGCGTGTCCTGCTTGATGAGGTCGTCGTTGAGGAGATTGGTGAGCCGATCGCAGGCGCGGAAGCGGCGGTCGTAGCTGACGCCATCGGCCGAGTAGTACATGCGCAGCACGCTCGAAAGCCGGAAGCCGGAACGGTGGCTCCAGTCCTTCAGCTGCGAGCCGATCAGGTAGCCTGGAGGCCCAGCAGGACGCCCGCCCCACCACCCCCCCAGTGCGGCATGCATAAGAAGGACCCCTCCAACGACGACACGCAAGCGACAAACAATCGCGCAACGGCATTGTCAAGCGCCAGCATGGGAGCCGAGGCAAGATTCAGAAACGTTTACCTATGCACGAGGTGAGATATCTACAACCTATCCGCGTCCTTTGGCGATTTCCACGACCCTCCCGTCTCCACGTCCGCGCATGCTGCAGAGAGCTTCGACACATCCACCAAGCTCCAGCAGCATCACCGCGCGAGGGTGTCGCACGTACCGTCGATGCCTCCGTAGATCTCAGCGTTGGTCATGGCCGTGACGCTGGCGCGGCTGGCCAGGCTGTACTCATGCGGGCAGTAGGTGCTGTTCCAGAAGCCGCCCGGGCCCAGCACGGCCGGGGCGTTGTTGCCACCGCGGCCCTCGTAGTGCAGCGCCGTCTGGGCGACGTCACCTGGCGGACAGCACGCCAGGTGAAGTCGCTGCGTCACACCGCTGCAGCAAGTCGCCAGGTGAAGCTGGTGCACCACACCGCTGCAGCAAGTCGCCAGGTGAAGCCGCTGCGCCACACCGCTGCAGCAAGTCGCCAGGTGAAGCTGGTGCACCACACCGCTGCAGCAAGTCGCCAGGTGAAGCCGCTGCGCCACACCGCTGCAGCAAGTCGCCAGGTGAAGCTGGTGCACCACACCGCTGCAGCAAGTCGCCAAGTGAAGCTGGTGCACCACACCGCTGCAGCAAGTCGCCAGGTGAAGCTGGTGCACCACACCGCTGCAGCAAGTCGCCAGGTGAAGCTGGTGCACCGTACCGCCGCTGCAGCAAGTCGCCAGGTGAAGCCGCTGCGCCACACCGCTGCAGCAAGTCGCCAAGTGAAGCTGGTGCACCACACCGCTACAGCAAATCGCCAGGTGAAGCTGGTGCACCACACCGCTACAGCAAGTCGCCAGGTGAAGCCGCTGCGCCACACCGCTACAGCAAGTCGCCAGGTGAAGCTGGTGCACCACACCGCTACAGCAAGTCGCCAGGTGAAGCCGCTGCGCCACACCGCTACAGCAAGTCGCCAGGTGAAGCCAGTGCACCACACCGCTGCAGCAAGTCGCCAGGTGAAGCCAGTGCACCACACCGCTACAGCAAGGCTAATCGGCCGCACTTACCGTTGTCGTTGTCGTGCTTGCCGGCCGCACTTGAGTGAGCAGGTACCGCTAGCGGCTCTGGCTTTGCTCATGAGCATTGTGCACGGAAAATTTGTCTAAAATCTTAAGGTACCATTTCCTAGAAGGCTCACATTTGGGTGCAATGAAGCAGCAAACAGCTCACGATCTCTTGGGGAGGAGCCTGATCTCGCGCCTGTCCCCGCCGTAACCAACAGTGGACGACGGCGGGCAGTGTGACGAGATCTGACGAGCTCTGGCGGCGTTTCCCACGCCCAGGGGGGGGGGGATGCGCAACCCGGGACTCGTCGCATGGCGTGATGGGGCGAGACAGCACTCGGCCCTGCAGCCGTGGGGTAAGGCTAGGGCCAACTGGCCACCTGAGGTTCGGACCAATCGACAGCCTGTCGCTAGGGCCAAGCTGCCGTCTGAGGCTAGGGCCAAGCGGCCGTCTGACCTGCCAGTGTGGCGGCCCAGATGTTGTTGAGCTGGAGCGAGCGCTGCTGCTGCGTCAGCTCCTGCAGCGTCAAGGTGTCAGAGCCCACGACGTCCGCCACCGACACGTCCTGCTCCGACAGGCCGGCGGCCATGCCTGTTGCCACAGACACCAGACGACAGACGGTTAAACATCTCGAGCAGCGTCAGTCGCACGTCACACCGACGCCAAGGGCTGCCGCACAGTTCACACGGTAAATGTCGAGGTTGTCTGGCCAGGAGATGATTATTTTCCCAAGGTGTTCGAGAAATTTGAGTGCGGGTATCGCTCTAAATCGCCTTCAACGTTGCGAGAATGTGTTTAGAGGCATTCAAGGTCATGAACTGTCGGCATTTTTTGTCTAAGAAGATGGTCAAGAAGTGAGAATGGTTTCAGGAATTTGGACTGAGTTGAAATAATTTGACCCAAAAAGTTATAAAACATGCAAATGTGACTCACCATGTAACTCATTTCACGCATCATAACATTATCTAGATATACAAGGAAGTCATACCGACCGAGACATGGGCGGAGGTTGACAGTCTTGAGAGACGAAATCTGGGATCCATGAATTATTACAGAAACCAACATAAATGCAAGATGTGAAATCTAAATATATCTAAATATACAAGGAAGCCATACCGACTGAGACATGGGTGGAGGGTGACAGTCTTGAGAAGCAAAATCTGGAATCTATGAGTTATTACGGAAGCCAATATACATGCAAGGTGTGAAAAACAGGCTCCGCGCTTTGAAGGAAAAGAGTGTATGGCGCTCCCAACTTGATCACTTGCAATGCCCCCATAGAATGCTGTTCCCAAGACTAAAATCTACAATCCGCTTGATATTCCTATGGAAGAGTCAAAGGGTAAGCCACCGAAACTGGAAAAAATAAGAAATTATGGGCTTGCGAGACGACCTTGGGAACCTTTCATTTCAAGCCACGTCGATATAGACGGCTTGAGCAGCATGACATACGTGCACGAAGTGATTCATCGCTTGGATACAACAAATCTTAATACGTTTGCAAAATTTTCAGATAGCAAACAAAATAATATGAATTCAGTGGAGCATGGAGCAAAGATAAACGACGTTTGTCCTTAATAGCACTGACTTGCTTGCTGTTGACAGCTTGTAAGATTTCATATGAGCAAAAATCGTCACGAGTTTGGGGACCAAAATTCGGTTACCGTCGCCATCAGGTAGGTGGCGAGGGAAAGAGAAACAGGGAAAAAGAAGTCAACACTCCAATTTCATGCCCACCGCTGCCGGTGTTGAGCTGGGGATCGGACCTTCCCACCGATTTGGCGCCGACGCTGTTCAGGAGGGAAGCATCACAGCGCCGGTGTTGTTCAGGAGGAAGGTATCATAGCGCCGGTGCTGTTCAGGAGGGAGGTATCACAGCGCCGGTGCTGTTCAGGAGGAAGCTGTCACAGCGCCGGTGCTGTTCAGGAGGGAAGCATCACAGCGCAGGTGCTGTTCAGGAGGGAGGTATCACAGCGCCGGTGCTGTTCAGGAGGAAGGTATCACAGCGCCGGTGCTGTTCAGGAGGAAGGTGTCACAGCGCCGGTGCTGTTCAGGAGGGAGGTATCACAGCGCCGGTGCTGTTCAGGAGGGAGGTATCACAGCGCCGGTGCTGTTCAGGAGGAAGGTATCACAGCGCCGGTGCTGTTCAGGAGGAAGGTATCACGGCGCCCGTGCTGTTCAGGAGGGAGGTATCACAGCGCCGGTGCTGTTCAGGAGGGAGGCATCACAGCGCCGGCGCTGTTCAGGAGGAAGGTATCACAGCGCCGGTGCTGTTCAGGAGGGAGGCATCACAGCGCCGGCGCTGTTCAGGAGGGAGGTATCACAGCGCCGGTGCTGTACAGGAGTGAAACATTACAGCGCCGGTGCAGTGCCGGCAGTGGCGGAGTAGGATAGGTGTATTGTCTCCTTT